TATTAAGGAAGTGATATTGTGCCACATATATATTCTTTAATGATGTATCATTATTTAATTAATTGATTTTTTATTATAATATTGTATGAATTAAAATCATTTTCATTATTACTTCATTCAATGACCATTAACTTTGTATTAACCCTTTTGTTTCTAAATTAACATACTAATACATACTACGTATTATTTCCACCAATTTAATATATTGTGTCACTATTAGAAAACTAAAATAAATAAAATTATATTTATAGAATATCAAAAATTTAGAATGTATATGAGCTCGTGCAAAGCATGGGATTAACACTAGTGTTGAAGATATTGCGCAATTTTATGCTTTTTATTTTATGTCTTTTATGTTAAAAAAAAAGTCATGGTAAAACGTTATGCAAGTTTATCCTTTTATTTTATGCAATTTATGTTAAAATATTAAAAAAACCAAAAAAAATTGTTGTGCTTTTATTTAATTTATGTGTAACAAAATTATATGACATATGATTTACTTTAATTTTACTAAATACTCTATAATGTTTTATCTTGTTGAATTTATTTTTAAAATGATTAATTACATTTATAAATAAATTTAGTAGAAAAATCTATGCATATTTTTTTTATTTTTTTAAACTAAGCTTCAATGCTCATGTTTGTTGGGCGTGATGGTTATCAAGTTGACCTAAACATGCTGAGGTACAGTTTTGTTCATGGGAGTTGAACCCCTATTCTTTCTTGCTTCCGTTTGGATAAAAAAAGGATGAGCCGTCCGTGTACGTGGGCCGATCGCTGAGAGAAGATACATTAAACTTTAATTGTAGATTGACTGTTTTGATGAATTAATTTTGGTGTGCTCGCTTAAAAAACACTTTAGAGCATTTGTAATGGATGGTGAATTCCGCCGCTTCGCTTGGATTCCTAGGCATGTTATATATTTTAGTGTAATTGGAAAAACTATAATAAATGATATCCTAATACTCATCAAATAAGTTTGGTGGTGCGGAATGCACGCTTCATTGAGTTTGTTATGACAAAAACACCGTTTTATCGGGGGTTCCAAGGGGGCAGCGCCCCCTTGGCGGGGGTTCGGGGGCAACGGCCCCGAGCAGGGTTCAAGGGGCGGCAGCCCCTGCGGGGTCCAAGGGGTAGAGCCCCTGGCTGGGATTTTTTATTTTGGGCAAAGTGCTATGTAAAAAAATTCAATTGAATTTTTATTTTCAAATTTTCTTTAAAGAAAAATTCCTAATGGATAGCGCCGATTTTCTAAAGGCTTTTCGCGCGAAGGATCGCGTGTCTTGGGTAAAAGACGCGATCACGTCTTCTCTTCTCTACCGCAACTCCATATATTCCTGGAAGTCTTTGGTCAAAAATTCGTTTGAAAAAATTTCACAGCAGCCCATATTCGTTCTTGTTACTTTCGAGTTTATCCGATTGAATTTTTGATTGAACAACCAAAATATTCAATTTAAAAGTGTTATACACGACTCTCGATTGATCCACATTTTTGTTAATTTCCCAACAAGACGCGCCGCGGCGGTCGTCCATTGCATTTGTAGGAGGAGGGCGCTTTTTCAGCCGTGGCGCTCAGCCGGGCTGAACTCCATTGGAAAATCGCGGCGCCTATCCACTGCAGTGGTCTATCGCGCCCAATTCAATTTGTTTATTTTTCAATCCTGTAAATTCAATACATCTTCCACTTCAATTCATCCACTCTCATCTCTCAATTTACCTCTTTTCCTAATTTCTTTTCATCGTTCTCAAATCACAAAAAATGGCTCTTCCTCCAAATTATATTAAAATTTTCATTACATTTCAGTGTATTTCATCTTTTATCTCGACATTGTTTTTAATAAAGAGTGTCAATCTTAGCATTTTCATTTTAATTATATGTATTTTTATTTTTTAAAAAAATTAAAAAAAATGAAGAAAATGTAAAAAAATGAAGAGACGTGTTTTCATGACGATACCATTGTAGGAATTTGGGACAGAGTTGAAAATTAGTGAAAAAATGATGAGGGAGGTGAGATTCCCTCCCATTATAAATGCTCAAAATACTTTCAACATTCAAAACATAATGCTAAAAGAATGTGAAAAAAATTGTGCTATTATGTCAAATCGCATGCATTTCACAATATTACCGTTTCCATTTATGTGATAAAAGCAAAACATTATATTTTAATATAGGTTTCATGATTTAGTTTTTTTCCTTAGCGTACTCTAAAAGAGAAACATATCTTCAAGAAATCAAGAAAAGTTAAACATAACCATAGGACAATGGAGCATACTGGATTCAACTTTAAAGTTAAACCACACCTAACTCACCAAATGAGTGGCCCTACTTGGGAACAACGTTATATTTAAAGTTAGAGATTAGAGTTAGAATTTAGCTATTTGCATCAGAGTTGGTGAATAGTTGTTTGATTTTTTATTGTTTGGCAATTGAATATTTAAAAAAGCTAATGCATTGTAATTTACTAAAATGGGCCTGTTTGGGAATAGCGTTAGAGATTAGCGTTAGCGTTTTGTATAAAATTTTAACGGTGTAAATCACTTTGAAAACGCTAATGCTAAACGCTGCCCATAGATAGCCTTTCCAAAACGCTAATCGCTAACGCTATTCCCAAACAGGCCTAATGTCAAATTGAAAATATATTCCTATATTTTAAAAGTTGGTTGATTTTAATATTATTCAGGTGAACTTTTAAAATTCGTCATTATTGTTTTTTAATTTTAAGCTAGAAAGTTTTAAAAATAGTTTTTTAAAGGAGGGTTCATTAATAAATTTGCATGGACTAACATAGCCACTAAGTTCAAAAATGAGAATTGATGATAGTCCATTCAAATTTATTAATGATTCCCTTTTAAAAAATTGGTTTTAAATCTTTCTAGCCTAAAATTAAAAAAAAAATTATATAATGACAAAGGTAAAAAAAGCTCATCTAAATAATATTAAAATCAACTAACTTTTAAAATATAGGAATACATTTTCAATTGGACATTCAACTGCCAAACGATAAAAAATCAAACGGCTAATCACCAACTCTAATGCAAACAACTAATTTTCTAACTCTAAACTCTAACTCTAATCCCTAACTCTAAACTCTAACGATGTTCCCATACATGCCCAACATTATACAGAGTATATCCGAATTCAAAACATATCACCTCAAACATGAACAATGACGATTTTTTTTTGAGAAATTTACTTAAGTAGCACTAAAACATAATGACTTTCTCTAAATAGCACCACTTGTATTTTTCTTCCCAATGTAGCACTTTAAGTCATTATATATTAGTCATTATTCAAGTAAATATTCATAATCAATGGACATGATGGACATTATTAAATGCTATTGAAGAAATAAAACAATATAAGTACTATTTAGAAAAATGACTTAAGTTTTAGTGCTATTTAGTGCAAATATTTCTTTTTTTTAACCAAAATTAGAGCTTTCTTACATATTTATTTGGATTGTCATTTAGTTGAGACATTTTCAATACTTTAAATTTTTTAACATTTTCTAACTCTTTTTTAGTTTTTTCTAAACCTTTCGAGTTTTTTCTAACATTCAATTTTAAAATTTCAACAAAAAAGCACATGATCTGCGGTGGGGTTCATGATATAAACCATATTTTTTCTTTGCCCATTGCCCTTTCCCGAGTGAGGTCCACTAGAAAAGGTAAAAAAAGAAAGGGATCAAACCTGGTTTTCCATTAAACCATTAATGTGTAGAAAGGACGTGGTACTGGGGACAGAAAGGAACTCCCCAACCATAATCTCCTCCAATCAGAGAATCGTTGGAGGACACCAACCCTCCAACCAGCTTGGGTGTGTCCTACACTCCTACCCGAGGGATCACAATAGGACACCATAGAGATTAAATAAACGCTTTTGGACCCCAAAAAAAAATACTCCCTCCGTCCCGAAAACATTTCTCCTTTCTTTTTTCATCCGTCCCAAAAAACACTTCTCATTTCTATTAAAAAGTCACTTTTACCCATTAGTTTTTCATACCCTACCTATCACATCATACTTTTTTACTAATAATATATCCATCAAATCATACTTTTACCCATCACATCGAAGGACATTTTTGGAAATTTAATACCAAAATACACTCCCCTTAAATCACTCTTCAAAATCAAAACTCCCATGTTTTCCGGGACGGAGGGAGTAACAATTATGGAAAGGGGACAAACGCCCCCATCCCCATCTCTTCCAATCAAACAATCAAATGAAAAATTGATGTGAACCATTCAAAACAGGAAGTCATTATCAGTTTATCATACAAGTCTAAGGAACCGTTTGGATCCTTGAATATGAAAGGGAAAATAAATAAGGAGGGAAAGTTAAAATGAATAAAAAATTTGGGGGGGGGGGGATTGTTGTTTTTAGCCAAACTTAATAAATCAATTTTAGGAGCTTTGTTCTTTTGACACCAAGGGCCAGTGTCATAGTATGACATTGGCACATCAAGTGAAGTACTTTAAAGTCCTCAAATGATATGAGTGTCATAAATGGAACCCAAACACAATTTTCTTTACTTCCTTGTGTTCAAACTAGTTTTGTTCATATAAAAATTACCAAGAGTATTATTATAAAGAGTTTAGAATGGAACACTTTCCAGGAATTTTCACATAACCAACCATGGCCTAAGATGGTCAAATTCAACCAAACTTAAACTACACTCAAAGAAAATGATAGCAGGTGGCCAAACTTGAACTACCCTTGACTAGTCTCACCACACATCTTTCCTGCTCCCTCATCTTCATCTTCATATTAAAAAATGAACAAATACGGGCATACATTACGTCTACGTTTATTTGATTCTTAATGTATATAGACAATCATTATAGACTGTGGTTTAAACCTAGGTGAAAACTACGGTCCTAGAATGTTGGTCTCGTGCAACGACAAGTCGACAACCTATTATATTACTCCGTACATGCTTAAGGAGTTGGACTAATGACACAATTTAAAAGGCTCTTATAATATACCCTGGGTTGCTTAACGATATGACCATCATTTGTTTCGAACATATAATGGTTAAAGAAGTTGTAAAAGAAGCAAGCTTTGGTAGAATGACAAATTCATTTTCTCCAGTGTTTGTATAACCTATCTAAACAGGTACAAAGAACAAAATTACATTAACAACTTAATAGACATAACCATGGGGGGCAAAGGCACAACAAGAAGTATATAAAATCATAATTAAAATATACTACAACAGAAAGAAGTAGAGAGCATTAACCTTTTGTTTATTCAGTATCTGATGGTACATGTGAAGAAGAATCAGATGAGTCTTCAATGGAGAGGTTATGTAATCTGGGCTTCAATTCTTGATTGCAGAACCTTTCAAATTCAACTGTATCTCCTCCCTTCTTCTTCACCTCCACGACTCTCAAAGAAGGGGTTAGTTCGAATATCTCTGCAGCTATGGTTAATGGTCCTTTTGCACCTTCCTTCGTCCCCTCAAGACTAACCCTACAATCCTTCTTCCTCACTGAAAAACTCACCACTTTCGCAATCTCTTCCAGCTTGTTTATGATCTTGTACACAGGTGCTCCGGAGATGAGTCTCACACCATCTCCCCCTTCCTCAAACAATCCAGAAAGATCAAAACCGGGTGAAAAGGAGATGATGTCAAAGGCGTTCAAGCTAGCAGGTCTAGGTAAACCGGTTATCCTCTTCCTGCTCTCCATCTCAGATTCTGATTCTGACAAATCAGACGAATAATCGACTCCTTCGTCCAAGATACTACACAGCTTGTCATCCTCTATGTAAAACTTGACATCCTTAAACCCCTTCTTGAACCATCTGTTGCTCATAATCTCAGGGATGGTTATCCTTGTTTCTGGATTGGTTTCGAGCAATCGAGAGAGAAATCTTGTTAATTCGGGGGAAAACCATCTAGGGCATCTGAATTCCCCTCTGTAAATCTTCTTATACATGGACATGATGTTCTGGTCATGGAAAGGTAAATAGCCAGCCATTAGAACAAAGAGAATCACCCCGCAAGACCATATATCTACCTTCGCAGCATCGTAGCCCTTCCTGGCCAATACTTCTGGGGCAACGTAAGCTGGAGTGCCGCAGAACGTGTGAAACAGCCCGTCCTGTTTGATCTGCTCAGATATGGCGCTCAATCCGAAATCGGAGACCTTCACATTCCCGTCCTCGTCCAACAGTATGTTTTCCGGCTTCAAATCGCGGTGGTAAACGCCGCGGGCGTGACAGAAGGCCACGGCGGAGATCAATTGCTGGAAATACCTCCTGGCGTCCTCCTCCTTGAGCCTCCCCTTGGCGACCTTGTTGAACAACTCGCCGCCCCTGACATACTCCATGACGAAGAAAATCTTCGATTTCGTGGCCATGACCTCGAGGAGCTGGACGATGTTAGGGTGGCGGACGCGGCGGAGGATCGAAACCTCGCGCTTGATGTGCGCGGTGAGGCCGACTTTGAGGATCTTCTCCTTGTCGATCACCTTAATCGCGACGCCCTCGTTCGTCTTCACGTTCCTGGCGAAGTAGACCTTCGCGAAGGTTCCATGGCCAAGGAGCTTGCCGATCTCGTACCGATCCAGTAAAAGCCCTCCCGGACATTCCTTCTTGCTCGAGCTTCTCGCCGCGACGGCGGCCATGGGCGGACAATCAACCGAACACGACGCCGTCTCGGCCGCCGGAAAAAGGCAGATCAGTGTTTTACCTGGGGTAAAAAAAATGATTGACGGGTAAAAAGAGTTGGGGAATGGATGCTTGATTGGGCGCTTATATAAGAAGGTCGGTAATGGGTGACTTGGGACAACGACGACTAGTTCCTAAAGGAACATCGCTTATTTCTTTCATTGTTACGTGTCCAAATTCCAAAATTCCCTCCAACATTGTCTTTTGTATTAGTTTGATTTTTTTTTGGAATCAAACTCATTCTAATTTCTTTATATATTTTCATCAATTACTTAATAAAATTAAATAACACTGTCATCACTTGTTTTATAGAAATTTGATATAATGTTAAATTTCGTAAGCTGAGTAGAAACTTTTTTTAAAATGGGGTAAGAAGAAGAAGAAGCCCGCCACCCCCTGTCTCGCCGTCACTACCGCTGCTAGGTTTGATTCTTTATCGTTAGTTCTTTATTGTTTCGAGGTGAGTACGTGGACATCGAATACTAGACTATATACATAGGTATAAAACTTTCGTTCATAATCTTATTAGATTGATTTATGTGGAAGTTTGAATTTTTGGAAAAATTGGGTTATTGATGATTTAATCGGGTAGAACGCATGATTAGGCGTTAATTGATCAATTGTTTGTCTATATGACACTTATGAGTGATGTTGAATTGGTATATGTGATGATTGGTGCAAATTGAGGTTAAAAAGATGGATTTTCTGACGTGTGCGACCGTACTAGATTCACTTCGGGACAGACGGTAGGTCCTTATTGTCAGACAGTAGTACGCAACCGTACTATGGTACGTTAGTACCGTTACTATCTGAGGAGTGTTGTTCCATTATTAGTATTTGTTTTAAGTGTCAATGATGTATTTCGAGAATTTATATGTTGTATGACAGTAATCATGGGTGTTTCACTATGTTAAGGAAAATAGGGAAAGAAGATAAATGAAGTTTGACCGTGTGAATAATAAACATACAATTTAATTTAGGACAGACCCCATCTCCGAGGGTTCTTTTAGACCCGTTCAGACGGTCATTGAGAAGAGGTAAATTGAACTTTCATTACAGGTTGGTGGCAAAGAGTGGAGTCTGCACATAGTACTTATAGAAAACTTATGTTTAGTAAATTTGACTCCCAGCGCAATTGTCAGAAATCAAGATTTATCCCTTAGTGCTCCTTGTCTTAGCTAATTTTGCAACTTTACATGCTCTTAATTTGTAATTAAAATTGAGAGAGAAGAGTATACATTTTTATCTTCGGTCACTTACACATTAGATCAATGGAATCAAATTTTCCATCATACAAGAATGAACATACGACTTTACTATAAGAAAAAGTGCGCCACGAATATGGACTATAATGCAATTTTACTACGTTTAAGTTATAAGTCTCTTAATGAAACAACACTGCTTTTTGACATTTTCATTTAAAAAATTAAAAACTTAATCTAACACCACATTCTTTACCTTTATATTTTAAAAAATTAAAAACTTAATTTAACACCACTATATATCCGGCTTTTAGTATCATTATCATAGTTAATATTTTTTCTAGTTTTGTTATTTTTATGTTTTTATTTTGGATTAGTACTCTCTTTTATTTAGTATTGTAGTTTCATTTAAATCGGTGAAATGTTATCGTATTAATTAAATATTTACACTTTATATTTTTAAATATATTATAAAATTATTAATTGATATAATTCATTATTAATAAAATTAAATATGTTAAAATTAAATTTTATTATTAGTTTAAGGTAATAATTATAAAATAGTTATAGTAAGTTAGTGAATTAGTGTATGTACAATTGTGCACCACTAGTTGTAGTAGGGAAAGTATGAATTGCATGACATTAATGTGAATGAAAGTGAAAATGTTGAAAAAGTATCCATGCTCAATTAGGCACAATGGCCATTAGGGCTATATTGGGAAAATAAAAAATCGAACCGAAACCAGTCGAAACAAGCTAGAAAAGACTGGTCGAAAAATCGAAACCGAATATCAAAAAATCGAACTGAATCGTTATTGCCTGGTTTGTGTTTTGGTTTTCACTTTAGAAAACCAAATCGAACTGAATAAACCGAACTTAGGTACTTTGTTTTATTTATATGAGTAAATGCAAAAAAATCATAAAAATATAAATGTAAATAACTGATCAGTCGATTAAATTTATTTATTTTAACTATTAAACATTTTAAACCATATTATAAATTTTTAAAAAACCTATGATTATAAACATCAATAACTAATCCATATACAGAATTATATTAACATTAACAATTGATACGAGTAATTTATATATTTACATAGAAATTTTTGATGTTATAATAGAAATGAAAGTTGTATACCAAAAACACAAATTTTCAATAATTGATATTTACATACGAAGGCTTTGAGAGTATTTACTTTGGAAGCTCTTGGATGTTTGTTAGGCACTCGACATATATTTTTTTTATGTAAAACTGAACCGAACTGAACTCTAACCTTCTGTTCGGTTTTTGGTTTTGTGTAAAAATCAAATCGAACTCAACCCTTCATATTGATATTACTTCATCAAGTTAGTTTTTTTATTACAATTTTTAATGATTATAAATTTTATTTTTTAAAAACTGAAAAAATCAAAAGAAACCGAAATAAAAACTGAATAAAACCAAATTGAATAACAAACAGTTTATATTTTTTTTTATGTAAAATCGAACCGAACTAAACTGAATCGTCAACTTACATCTTGTTTTATCTTTGGTTTTAGGTGAAAACCAAACCGACAAAATCGAATCCACCCATAATAGCCATTTTTATAATCCCTTGGTTCCCACGACATTGAGAATCAATGTGATGGGATGACCCGGGGTGCTCCGGTGCCCCGTTCGTAAAATTGACGGAACCTACACCCTCTAACCTCCGATAATCCCCCACTCAATCCGAATACACTCTCACCCCTTCAATTGCAATCCTAAATTAATTTTGACTACTTCATTCACCTAGGATTCTTTTACTCTCCTTATTTTTTTTTCGAGAAAATTCCATAAAAGGTTTCCAGTTATAAGTCATTTTACATATTTAGTCCCTACATATCAAATATTACTAATTTAGTCCCCAATTACTATATTCATTTCTACGAATGGTCCTTTGTTAACATTTCCGTTAAGAACGTGGATAAAATTGTTAATTCACACTCCTTTCTCTCCTCAATTAAGCTTCCTCCCTTCCCTCGCACTCCTTTCCCAAACTCGTAGGCCGTAGCTGAGTTTGAAGCTTTGAACCCAAAACTAAAATCATCACTCTTCTTTTTATTGTTTATCTAACGGGTAGAATCCAAATTCGAAACCACCTTCATGGGTGAGTTTTAATGTTTATTTTCTTTGCAATTTCTTGATACTAATTGATAAAACTCATCCATAAAGCTTATTAGTTTTGATTTAATTTTAGATTCCACCAGGTAGACTAATAATTGAGAGAGGAATGATCATTTCAATTTTGGTTTTAGAGCTTCAAACTCACCGACGAGTTTGAGAAAGAGTACGAGAGGAGAGAGAAAGCTTAATTGAGGAGAGAGAGAAGTATGAATATACAATTTTATCCACGTTCTTAACGGAAATGTTAACAAAGAACCATTCGTGGAAATGAATATAATAATTGAGGACTAAATTAGTAATATTTAATATGTAAGGACTAAATATGTAAAACGACTATAACTAGTACTCTCTCCGTCCGGTTTTTATGTTCCCAGTTTGACTTTTAGTCATTTTTAGTGAGTGTTGACTAAGGCTATAAAATGACTAGAATGCCCTTACTAAAAAAAGAAGGAAAGAAAGCCACATGCAGTATAAAGAAGTGAACAAATACGGAGTACTTTTACTGGTTCCAATCCAAAACAGTAGGGAAGTATGGGCTGATTACATCATATCATCATTACATTACCAAATCATCCAAAAAACACTCCAATTCCCTCCTATTTTTAGAAAACTACCCGCCCAAACATTCCCAAAATTTTTAAAACAACCTTTCCCCTTGCAGTCCTATAAAAGG